GATGGATGGATGGATGGATGGATGGATGGATGGATGGATGGATGGATGGATGGATGGATGGACGGACAGAGAGAGAGAGAGAGAGAAATACAGTAGGTAGGTACGGGGAGAGAGAGAGAGAGAGTAGGTAGGTAGGTAGATGTTTCCAGGTGTATTTATACATGTGCTGGAGAAGGAAATCACTGACAACCTATGGAGGCTTATAGAGTGCTGCTGGGGGCTGGGGGGACAAAAAAGGCCCATTTTTTTCTCATTTCTGCCATGCCCAGCCCCCAGGAACTGTCTGAAAGCCTCCATAAGGTTAGGCATGGTCATTTTGGTGAAGGGGTGGGGCTTCAGGAGGCAAAAAATGCTATAATTGATGTATAAGATGCACCCAGATTTTCAGCCTCTTTTTTGAGGAAAAAAGGTGTGTCTCATATTCTGAAAAATACGGTATATAAAAGCAAAAATGCCACTCATGCATCATCATGAAATCTCCAGAACTGTAAAGCCTACAAACTTGAAATTTGACACGTATGTTCCTCTTGGCTTCTAGGTGCTTGCTAAGAAAGATTTTTTGAAATGACTATGAGATCATTAGGATTTCTTATATTATTATTATTAACACACACTGATGCTAAGACGTTAGATGTTCTACTCACCCTCCCCACCTTAAAAGAACTCGGTTCCAACTGCCACTTGGGAATGGGCATGGCCAGCATGTGAATCATCCAGCCTGTGGACTGGGAGTTTAGACATTCTACTCCCCCTTCCCACCTGAAAGGGAGACAAGAGGATAACATAGGAGCGGCTTCAGTGGGGCAATCCTGAGGAGAGAAGAAAGAAAGGAGAGTCTTCGGTGGGGCAACCCTGAGGAAGAGAAGGGGAGAGGAGAGGCCAATTGTAACTACTAATTAATGCTGAAGCTTTAACTGTCATTTATCAAGCCTAATCACATAGTTCCTTAGCAAAGCATGGGTATCCAACCGACTAGTACAATAATATATATATATTACCCATGCAGTTCTCAGAATCAAAAGCACAGAAGCACAGTAAACAGAAGCAATATTCACAAAAGCTATAGAATCACAGAAGCACTTATATATATACAGATCAGTGAACCTAAGCTACTGCCAGGCTCTGAGTCGTGTGGGTCACCGAACAATCCCATTGGCTGACCTGTTACCATGTCTATTCCAATTCATGAACCCTTATAAAGTTTTTCTCAAGGATGAGTTTTCTAGATTTATAATCATTCCTTTAAAAAAAAAATAGCTCTGTGGTACTGAATTCAGAGAAATCCATAGCTCTAAGGAGAATTGATTTGCTTCAGGACAATTCTATGGTCCTTCCATCATGTGAGGCAGGAGTGACTCCAGAGTGAGTGAAACTTAATTGGATCCTTCACAAAGAAGAAACTGGTATTTCTTTTCTAGTTACTGAAATAGCACTGCCTGCAACAGCATTAATACAAGATTGTATTTAATGAGGTTCCGCACTGAAGTATGCTGTGATTAAAAGGAAGGAAAATGTTGTCATTTTTATATCTGTTATAAATGAGATTCATACTGTTTGATAGTAGCTGCCAGCAGGATAAATTCATCAGACACTATTTAGAGACCCCAAGTTACTGTTTATCACATCAATAACCAGAGCCAATGCTTACTAAGTACCTACCACATTTGCCTGGGAGGAGGCAAATAATAGAGAATATACCACAGGAACCCAGCTCTTCTTTGTTATACTTGTGGTATGAAGACAGCAGGGAGATTCAACAAAAAGAAAAGCTAAACTCAGTTCTTAGGAAGGTAGGCTTGGTGCTAGTAAACATAAGAAGGTCCTGCTGGATTTACCCATTTATTGTTATTTATCTGTTTCATTTGTGTGCCAGCCAGCACTGAAGATCCTGGGCTGCTAACAAACTCATCCCTAAAAATAAAATGACAGGCAGAATAAGAAATAACAAAATCAAAATGTAAAAAAAAAAATAGAAAATACAAAGGCAGACAAAAATCCCATTTTTAACTGTTGCATTAACCGAGTTGGCTAGTTGAGACAGATAAATAACANTGGTTAATGTTTTTGGTCTTGTTTGGTTCAGTGATTGTCCAGCTACTCATCCTGCGTGGACCCTTTTCTCTCGAGGGGGATAATTATTTCCACAAGTTTTGGAATTCTTGCAAATGAGGTCGAGGAATTTCAACCTGCAGGCGTTTTTAAAAAGGGGAGGGGGTGCTGCTGCATCAGGATATTTCCTGGTTTTGTTGAAACCCCTTTTGATCAGAACAAGATACAAGCAGTAGGAACCGAGGTACTCCTGAAGCTATTGCATAACATTTTTTATTAAAACCTTTAACCAAGAACAAACTAATGCATATAATGCATATAACGTAAGGAAGAAAAAAGAAAAAAAAATCAAAAAGTGGAAAAAAGGAAAAAGTTAAAGAAAAAATAGAAAGGAAAAAATACTAAATCTCTCTCTCTCTCTCTCTCTCATTACATCATGTTGCTCTTCATTCTATAATGGCTCTCACCTTCAAAGGGGGATCTAATCTGAAGGAGAAATCCTCTGAGCCACCAATGGTCTTCTTTTCCAGCTTATATACTTGGGAGATAAGATCACACCCTACACAGCAAGACGAAGGGATCCAAAACAGGTGATACCAGAAAGCATGTAGAAACTCCCTCCTTCCCTCCCTCCCATCATTCTGTTTTCTTCCTGTGTTATATTGTATGATGTTCATTGTTGCTCTAGAAACAGACAACACCAAAATCAAATCAATCAATTATAATTCAAGACAGGCCAATGCTTTTGAGTGGACATCACCCATATTCCCTCGGCTTTGCAACTGGGACATTGCAACAGATTGTGTCAGATCCCTCCCTCCTTCTCCTTCTCTCTCTTTCTTTCTGCTCCCCGTTTTGGTCAAGCGTACATATACTTCTCATCACAAAGATTAGAGGATACTTTCCCCAAGACCTGCATAAGGAGAATAAGGAGACCTGCTGAAGTTGGGGGAAATGCAACATATATTTCCTGTATTTCAGTCCTTGTCAGTGAATCCAGAGGTTTCAAAGAAATCTAGCAATTAAGCACAGCAAATGATTTTTGTTTTCTGGGATGCTAGTAACCCCACCAATTCCATAATGGGCTGAGCCTGTGATGCCAGGTGAGGGATCAGGGGTTGGGGGAGAAGTCAACGGTGCCCCTGAATGTTTGGGTTACTACTGCTCTTCGTCTCTTGCGTGGAGAACCTTTTCCCACTGGGGGAGATCCCTGAGGGACGTATTCATGCGTGTGACAGATCANGCTATGCTATGCTATGCTATGCTATGCTATTCTATTCTATTCTATTCTATAGTTGATAACTGCAGGATAAGCATATGGTCTGTTATGACTACAAATTTCGACACTGTTTTCTTTCATTGTGAAAAGATCTCTACTTTTTTTTTTCTGGGTGGCTCACGTAATGGCAAACATGGGATGCTGAGATATTTGAAATTCAAGCTGCACAGAAATAAACCACTAACAACAGCTTCATAATGCACATGAGCACCAACATGACACCCACCTGCAACATTTACAAGCTGTCATATCATCCCAGGAAAACACAGACCTTTAAGATGATGCAGAGAGGAGATAGATTTGTGTTTCTGCACACCCAGAGAGACTTTGGGAGATCAAATCCTATGCTTTGGACAGATCTATTTCACATTTCAAAACTGAAACATTTTTGAAAAAAAGGGATGGCCTTTCAGATTTTTTTTTTCTTAACTGGAAACAGAAACAGGATAAAATGTCAGGTTCTACAAAGCAAAAAAACATCTCGGTGGATCATAGCTTTCAGGTTTGAAAAATAGTTGTTAAATCATTGAACAAATCTGCCCAGAGTTCTTACTCAAGATATATATTACCAAACTCAAATTATCATATTTTGGATACTGCTTGAGGTACCTAACTGCTTGAGGTACACTTTAATGATGGCAATGGGAGAAGAAGTGGCAACTAGTAACAAAGTGTATAGCGGCAGTAATAGAGCCAGTTTGGCCAAGTTTTGGCCCACCAGGCTAAAAAGCAAGGGGTGGTAAATTCTAATCTCACTCTTGCTTTGAAAGTCAGCTGGGTCACTGGGTATCATGGATGGGCTTTCCTTTTTCTCTCATCTTCCCCTGTTGTGTTTACAAGATCATTGAAATTGAATAGTTTATTTATACAGTTAATAAATTGGTGCCATCCCTAACTGAAAAAAAAAGCTTGAAAAATATTTTCAATTTTTTCCCAAATGTTGATAACAGTGTCATATGTTCAATTTCAGTACAGCCATCTTTCTAACCAGTGTGTTTTCCTCCTAGATATGGATGACTGTTTTTCATGTCCAGAAGATCAGTATCCAAACAAGGATCAGCGTGACCCGTCAAAACCGCGTTCCACAAAANGGCAAAAATGAGGAAAAAACGGTCTGTTTTTCGCAAAAAGGCCCATTTTTTGTAAAAAAAAGGGCATGCATAGCCTTTAGGAGGCTTATAGAGTGTTCCTGCGCACTGGTGGAAGGGGGCAAAAACGAGCAAAAAAACCCCCTGTTTTTCACTCATTTTCGCCCTTCCCAGCCCCCAGGAGCACTCTGGAAGCCTCCTAAAGGCTATGCATGACCATTTTTGCAAAGGGGGAGGGGTTTGAAGAGGCCAAAATGCTGTATTCAGTGTATAAGATGCACCCAGATTTTCACCCTCTGAAAAATGGTACACAAATGTAAAAATAGGGGAATGTTATTGTTTAAAAAAAACTAATTGATAGAGAATTATATTGTTAATAATTTAATTAATTAAATTCAGTATCATTGCTTCACTATTTTCAAATACAAACTCATCTAAGTTTCATTTTCTTTAATATTGGCTTCTTTAATTAAGCTGGAGAAACATTTTCATCAAATATCCATCTACGTGCTATCGAACTATATGCTCAGGTAAGGTCCAGATCTCTAAAATCTAAAATATAGCTGCTTCAAAATAAAAGTGATAAAGTGAAAAAAAGGCACATATCTATTAATAATTGGATGAAATCCAAGGTATTTTTCCATTAGCAACATGAATGGTTCCCTCAAAGAAGAGAGATTATTTCCCCAAATTTCTTCCTCCCTCTCATTTGGCATTGTTATAGAACAGTGTTTTTCAACCTGGAAACTTGAAAATACATGAATTTCAACTCCCAGAATTCTCCCATCAGTAAGGGAAATTCTGGTATTGAAGTCCATACATCTTCAAGTTGCCACAATTGAGAAACACTATTCTAGAGACTCCCTAAACTATATAGGCACTAGGATAGCTATTCAAGGGCACTAGGAAGAGCAATCATCAGTAAAAATAGACTCTTCATGCATTCTGCCAGTGGTGTTCCTCCACTAGATTCAAAATGTTCTATGAACCGAAGGAACCAATTTATCAAATGTATTCCATATGTTCCCCATGCAGACAAATTTAAAAATTTATAACTTGATTTCTTCATTATTTATTTTTCATTTTTACTTTCGTTCAGTCAAATTCTTTGATTATAGAAAAATATTAATCAGTTTCAGTTGAATTGTGTTAGGTCCTTAATTGAGCTATAAATTATGTTCTTTCAACTCAAGACTGATCATACGTATTTTACTGTTATAATGAAAAAAATTACATGTTCACCTTTGAGCTTTTCTAATCTACAATAAAATATTAACACTGAAGAAATTAATAAATTCAAAACTTTATCTTGAAAATTCATCCACCCTCAATCATTACCCTTTTATTAACCAATCTAAATTCTGTTTGGAATAAAAATAATTGCATGAATCAAGACAAGTATCCATTTATCTCTTTATGATCTCTTTATAATACCTTGATTCTAGGGAAACGATCAGTGTACAAAGTTCCATAATTCTAAGGGCTTTTATTTTTACTATCTTAATTATAAGAGATGCCTGGTAGACACAAAATGGGGGTGATGGAGTAATAGATTTTAATTAGATATACTATGAAATGTGTTGCTTTTTAGAGGTTAGTGCTGCTTGCTATTGAAAGAGGAAAACAATGTTATAAACTTCCATTTATCTTTGTTTTCTGAACTTAGATCCTTGTGATTCCCACCCTTGCCAGAATGGGGGCACTTGCATTCTAAAGGGATTAGAAGGCTACCACTGTGTCTGTCCAGTGAAATTTGGAGGAGATTCCAACTGTGGTATGTTGTTTTATTTTAGGGACTGGAATCTTGTTTTTAATGTGTTGGTAACATTAGCCCGTTTTCTACAAAAAACTCTGATTATCATTATTTGTTCTTTAATAAGGAAAAGCAGAATGGGATAAGAATTAGACAGTTTGTTTTAAACCACCATCAACATTAAGAATTAGTGTATGTAATATCCATATCTGAACGTTCCTCAAAATAAAATATCTTATATTTCATATATTGTATCATATATGATCAGGATAGCAGAATATGTTGATTTAATTTCCCAAACAAGCAAAAACTTGTCAATATTTGTATAGGATAGAACCATTTATCCAGCTCCTCTGTAGTTAATAAGAAGTATGTTTTGTCTGGGTGACATTTTTAATTTATACTTTATTATGACGGAGGAATTATGAGAGTGAAAATTATTAATATGAAATATCCAAATTACATTTTTCAAATCTCTCTGGTGTGGGACATTTATACAGAAACGAAAGGAGTTTCTAATTATATCTCTGCTTACCTATTCTAATGCTTTTATTCATACTGAATTTTGGAAGATGTTTCTATCATCTGTGGTTTATGACTTAGTAATCTAAATAAACAACTGAACAAGAAATCCATCTCTCACACACATCCATCATTTATTACATTTTGCCAATGAACTAAGTCTTAGTTCTTTCTAATACCATATTAGGTTACATTTTGTGATTAAATATTTGAATCAATCAATAAAAACAGAACTAAAGGGACTTTGGAGATCTTCTTGTCTAACCCTCTGCTCAAGCATACCATTTCTGTAACTAAAAAATGACAGGCCCAAAATCAAACCTTACTAATAGTTATATATTGTACAATATTCTATTTTAGAAGATTCTTGTTCTGCATTCTTTTTGGGTTTCTAACAGTTTTTGCTTATTTTGTTAAACAGCACCAAATATAAATACGGAATGCAGTGTGGACCTTCTTTTTTTGGTGGATAGTTCATCCAGCACTACTCTTGAAGGCTTCTTGCATTATAAAGCTTTCCTGAAAAAGTTTCTCCATGTAGTGTGGAATACAGAAACTCTGCAAAATGTGGCCCTGGCCCATTATAGCAATGATGTCAAGATGATTGTCCAAATTGGGGATTACAGAGATATGTTCAGTCTGGTGAAGATCATTGATTCCATGGAATTCATTGGAGGAAACACTTTGACCGGCAAAGCTTTACGATTTATTACACAACAAGGCTTTAAGCGTCCACCAGTGTTTTCTGATGTTCCTGAAGATCTTCCCCATGTTGTCGTATTGCTCACAGATTCAAAAGCTGAGGATTCAGTAGTAGAAGCAGCTAAATTCAGTAGGAAAGAAGGCATTTCTATCATTGCAATTGGCAGTGAAGTTTTAAGAAGAGAATTGGATGAGATTACAGGGAATCCAAAGCGGACAATTATCTACTCCACCACTCAAGATCTAGTCAATAAAATTACTGAATTACAGAGAAAAATCTGCAGCATTGATAACCAAGGTAAGAATTCAAGATAAAGATACCATATCAATTGTTTTTCAAATATCTATTATTGGTTCAGTGTCACATAGTATCCTGCTGGATGTTGTACATATTTCAATTCATTAAAGAGAGATAATACAGTAGCAAAGCTACTGCAGAGAGCACATTAATGTACCTTGTATTAATCAATAAATGAAAAAGAGGTTGCCATTTCCTAAACCACTTGAAAGGTGTATATGATGCTGTTGTTAATTTCAATCTCTGCTGTTAGTCAGAGGTCATATAGACCAATTTAGATTTGTCTCTCTAGTCTCTCAGGGTATTGATTAGTGATGTATTTAAATTGTGTTTAACTATCTTAAAATTGAAATTTAATTAAAAATGAAATAAAATATTAGTTAATTTTCTTTATTACTGTATATTTATCTCCCTGTTTTTCCAAAGAGTTCGGAGAGATATACACTGTCTTCCTTTTCCCCTTTTATTCCAGTAGCACCACAATATAAGCTACATATACGTAATGATAGCAGACAGTTTTTGAATAAGCTTCATAATTCACTGAGATTTCAGTTCTTCCTAATGCAACCCTTGAGATATTACAAGATACAGATTTTATTTTGTTTTATTGCCAACTCACCTCCTGGTGTTATCACTAAATCTCCAGATTTATAACTTCTAGTCTGAAATATTGATGAAATCAACGTTTTTAAGAGTAAAACCTTATTTGTATCCCAGTTCCTCTATAAAAAGTTTTGTCATTTGTGTGCATGTTTGCAGCTGCAGAAGGAAGTGAAACCACCTTTTCCATGGTTTGCTAATGGAAACAGTCTTAATGAGAAACCTGTAGAGGAAGACTTCTGCTGCCAACATAATCTTACTTAAATGTGATTCCCTTTACTGTATCATATAAGACTTGTAGGTATCCACATGAATGAGTCACGTTCTTCAAAGGCTGATTACTTCTTCTTCCTCCTCAGGCTGCCTATCTCAGCCCCTGGATTTGGTCTTTGCTCTGGATTCTTCAGCTTCAACTGGAAGGTTTAACTTTGCCCAGATGAAAAACTTTGTCAGCAGTCTCTCTTCCCACTTTGGCATCAATAGGGATGTAACGCAAGTCAGCCTTGTTGTCTTTGGGAAAAGGCCTCAAACAGTATTTGGACTAGATACACATGTTACTAGTTCAGCTCTACTGGAGGCCATCAAACAAGCTCCCTTTACGGGTGGCTCTGCCTCAGTTGGAAGTGCCTTGCTTCATATTCATGATGATGTCACAGTTGTCCAAAAAGGAGCAAGGCCTGGTGTGAAAAAAGTTGTGGTAGTTCTCACAAGTGGAGCTGGAGTTGAGGATGCCGTAGTCCCTGCCCAACAGCTACGCGGTAATGATGTATCACTTCTTATCATTGTGAAAGAAAGTGTACAAATGGACCTTTTGTTGAGGATTGCAGGCTCTTCTAACAGTTTGGTGAGGATTTCTTCTTATGAAGATCTCAGACATAAGAAAGACTTTATCATGGAAAAATTGTGTGATGGTAAGGTATATTTTGATTTTCTGTTTTACAGCCAACAATTGTGGCAACATTTTTTCTTAACTTACCTTCTTTTTTAGTCAGCTCCAAACTTCCAGCAGAAGCGGCAAAATACAAAAGTATAATGAGAAAGAGATGTAATCTACATCAAATTCAGTATAAGGCCATTTCTTCTGAAAACACCGACTTTATTTTTACCTCACTATGCTTAATGAGAAGACCTAGATTTAACCTTCTTCATCTCCAACAAGAATTACTTTAAAATAGCTACTGATTTTTTTAAAAAAAATGTACTTGAAATAAAGAGAATGATAAATACTCTGTACTTCANTTAAGTGACTTTTGCCACGTTTCACAATCTTTCTTGACACAGTTGCTAGATAAACCCTTGTTATAAATCGAGTTGTTAAGTTTGTGACGTGAATCTGGCTTTCCCATTGCTTCTCGGAAGATCAGAACAGGGGCTCACATGATCCCAGGACCCTGCAACCGTCATAAATATGAACGATTTGCCAAGCAGCTGACCATGAGGATGCTGCAATGGACAGAAGTGTGAAAAGTCATGTTTTTCAGGGCCGTTGTAACTTCAGTCGCTAAATGAATAAGTCGAGGACTCTAATAATTCATGAGAACAGAAATAGAGAAAGGGGATTCCTAAGAAACTGCTGATTCATGGGAATAGTCAGAATGCAAACCAGCCACACCCTAGAATTCTCTACATTAAGCTTTCTTGTAAGGCGACGTCCTTCCCAAAAATCTGCCAAATGCCCTGGGTCTACCAAGCAGGCTTGGTCTCCTTTGAGTTCTGCCTTTTCCCATAAAACATATATTTGTTCATCGTTGATCCTTCTAGGTTGCACACTGTGGGTGACACACAATGCATTTGCAGTGTGTTTATAAAGTTTTCTCCTCCGTGGGAAAATTAAACTACATCACCGATCTTTCTCAGCCGAGCATGGCTGCTGGGTATTATGGGTCATAAAATTCGAAACATGGAGTAGGCCGGTTGGGAAGGTGACCCCTCTCGTTTCTATCCTTTTGCAAATATTGATATGTTAAATTTTTGCTGTCCTGAGATGTTCCCTTCCCCCTTGTGGAATTTTGCAAAACAAGCAGGAGAACAAAGTTCATCTGAAAACTTTAGAAAGTGGTTGAGATCATCAGAATTCTGAGCAAGAAAGGCATCTCGTGATAAAATCACTGCCTAACTTATTTCACAAACAGTCAATGAATCAAATGAAGCGGGAATTATATATGCTGTTCAGACTAGGATAGACTTGAATGACTTTTATGCAGAATTTGTTCGGCATAAAAATAACATATTTAAATATTGAACAAGATAATAATGAAAGATTATAATTTAACAAAAATATGTATTCTTATTAGAATTATATAACTTCTCAAAAGTAAATGTGACGAATATTACTTTATTAGTATTAAAATGTGATTAGAAAGGGGATATTTTTTAAAATATAACAGTGGCATAACTAAGAATTAGGGGATAAACAATGGAAGATTATAATTCAATATAAATTTGTATTACTATTAGAACTATATAAGTCTGTTAAACACAACTAATATGATTATTAATATTTTGTTCATAGTAAAAGGTGTGATCGAATAATCAAAGAATGAAAATTATAATTCAACAAAATATGTGTATTATTACAAAAATACTATAAGGTTGTCAACTGTATTAAATATGAAGAATATTATTTTATTTGTACTAAAATGTAAGACATTCCAGTGCCACATTGTTCACACAATGATATGTTTGTAAAAAAATTAAAAAAATTTTTTTTTAAAAGACTAGGGCAGACTTGGTTAGAAATCAGAGCAAGCACTGAGAAATAAACCTCTTACTTTTGCTCATAGAAAGTTAACTTTCCTTATTATTCCCCCCCCCCCAAATGGAGTTGGGTCTCCCTTCTGACATTCTCATCTTTCCTCTTAACAGAACCTATCCTCGCCCGCATGAATATTTGGATGTCTCTAAGCTGCCCAAGAGCTGGGACTGGAGAAGCAGAGATGGAGTCAATTATGCAAGCACCACTCGAAACCAGCACATCCCCCAATACTGTGGATCCTGTTGGGCTCACGGCAGCACCAGTGCCTTTGCAGGTAGGGAATACCCACTAGTGATGCCTTCCTCCGAGCATGGAGAATCACAAGTCTTAAGGGAGGAAATGCATAGATTTAAAAAAAAAAAAAACTTAGTCACTACACCTCACATCACAATCTGCCTTTCAAATCAAATTCGGTGTTTCCCTTTGAAAAGCGTGGTGTGCCTTTTGAGGTTGGGCAATACTGAGAGAGAGGTGGAGAATTATCTCATTGGTGTTATTTTTAAGTTAGTTGTGTAGTTTTCTGCCTCTTGACTGAAAAGGCAAAGTCTCCTTCAAGCTGAGTTCAACTCCTGGTAATTTCACATCCACATTGTCTTCTTAGCCAGCCTGGCCTGAACAAAACAAAATAAATTATTGATCACTGTTAATTTTAATTCGATTTTTTTAAAAAAAATGTCATTTCATTTTTTTTCCTCAGTCATTTTATTAAGACTTATAGGCCGCCCTTCTCCCTGAGGGGACTCAGGGCGGCTTACAATCATAAGGGAAGGGTGTGCAGCAACAAGGGACAAACAATAAGTGACCAAAAATAAAATGGTAAAACCACAACATGCATTCAACAGTCAACACTCGGGCGGGTAAATTGGAAACCTATCCCCAGGCCTGCTGGGAGAGCCAGGTCTTGAGGGCTGTGCGGAAGGTCTGGATGGTGGTGAGGGTACGAATCTCAACGGGGAGATCGTTCCACAGGGTCGGAGCTGCAACAGAAAAGGCTCTCCTCCATGTAGTCGCCAGTCGACATTGACTGGCGGATGGAATCCGGAGGAGGCCCAGCCTGTGTGATCTAATCGGTTGGAGGGAGGTAATCGGCAGAAGGCGGTCTCTCAAGTATCCTTCCGAGGTCAGCAAAATGAGGACCCAGATTTTTGGAAGCAATGTGCTGATTCTGTTAACCATTTACAGAGGGCTGTAAAGCACTGTGAAGCGGTATAGAAGTCTGTGCTATTGCTATTGTTTTATTATTATTATTATTATTATTATTATTATTATTATTATTATTATTATTTATGTAAATGTGTTTTTATTTTCCATTTTCATTTTCGTACAGTCACATATATACTGTGCAGAACCGGGGCCATATAACATTAAACAATAAACACAGCCATTCCTCTTGTCAATAATACCCCCCAAAATAGAAACCCAATGTACCTCTTCGACCCTCCATACACCCTTTCTTTCGCCCCCCTCCAACTTTCCATCTTCCCTCCATCATTCCCCTCTACCCTACTTCCCCTCCCCCTCTACCACACCTCTCTCCCGATACACTCCCTCCCTTCCTTCTCACCCTCCCTCCAATCCTCTCTCCCACCCTCTCTACCCCTCTTTCTTCTATCCCTCTACTCCTCCCTTTGGTGTATTTCTACTATCTATTAATATATTCAGCTTGTCCTATTTTTACACTGGAATTAAAGAGCAACAGTATACAAGTGCAATCGCGTTACTTTGAAATCTAACTATTGCTATTGTTTTCTTGGCGGTGGCACGGAAGCCATTTGTCACTGTCATCCACTGGGGATTTTTTTTCCCTACCCTGCTTTAGCTGACAGTCTTCTTTCGGATCTTAACTAAGTTGAACCTAACCAGGTCCAACACTGCTTAGTTTCTCGGCCCACGTTTTGCCCTATTAAAAGACAATGGACAATGGGAAAGGCTTGCAGTAAAGACTGAATTGGCCATAATGGTATTATTGAAGAGAAAAATGAAAGAACATTTGGGATTTAAAAGGGAAGGAATTTCCGTGGTCATTTTATAGAGAAAAAAAGCAGGTTCGTAGGATCCATTTTCAGATTTTTTTTATTGGAATGTAAGATCTGGTACAAAATATTGAGTGGCAGGTAGGGAAAAGGAAACAGATGATCACTTGTCTCCTGTATCACATAAATCAGATCTGGACAATATGCACTTCATGATTAGGTTTCAATTAAGTCATGGCTTGCTGTATTGTAGATTGCGAATAAATCACAATAAAAGTGGTTTAGGTTGGCCTGACATGGGAAACCACAAACTGTGGCTGAATTAAGAAAGCACACCAAGCCACAGTCAAATCAAAGAAAAATATACAACTATGATGTTTGCAAGAAAACAGCCAAGCTGAGAGACCACTAAGGACCTCAAAGAAAAATATTTTACCTGAGCACATTGTGGGAACTCAGTCAGTGACTGAGAAGGGTTGCAGTTTTTGTTACTGTTGTGGCCCGCCAGCAGAGATGGCAGCAGAGTCGGCAGTGGGGAGGAATATGGGTCAGTCCTGGAGGCTGAGGAAGTCTCGGACAAGGGCTCTGTGTCGGAGGTAGAAGTGGGGCCAAGGCCGTCTGGCAATTCTCAGCTGCCTTCGGAGCTAGACAGCAGTGAGGCAGAGGAACAGCTGGAGCCTGTTCCCAGTGTGCACATACGCAGAGTTGTCAGATTAAAAGAACAGCTGAGAAATCAGGGTCAACTTGGGAGTAAAGCCACAAGTAGACAGTGAATGGCCCCTCCCATAGGAAATAAAAGAGAAGCGAAAGGGGAGTGGGCTTTTGCAGGAAACAATTTATTCGTTCATTCGTTAGTTCATTTCAGGAGTGTGAAGATCTGTCCGTGAATCTCAGAGACTCTGTGCCAAGTCTTTCCTTGAAAAGCACTGTGCTTGGAAAATATTTACATGGCAGCTTTCCAAGCTAGATAAAGTCTGTGGTCATAAATTCACCTTTGAAAGATTGTTTGCCAGGCCTTTGCTGAATGTGAATGAGAGGAATTGACATCCGTTTAATAAAAGGGGTTTTGTTGGGAATCTGCTTCGTGCTTTTTGGGGAAGCCTAGGTTAGAACAGTTATTTTCAAGACTTATTTCTCCCTCTTAGATCGCATAAATATCAAGAAGAAAGGTGCCTGGCCCTCGGCATATCTCTCTGTTCAAAATGTGATCGACTGTGCCGATGCTGGATCTTGTGAAGGTGGGGACGACGGTGGCGTGTGGCAATATGCTCATGAACATGGCATCCCGGATGAAACATGCAACAATTATCAAGCTAAAGACCAAGGTATGGATGATCAGAGCACCAAAGTGTGCTTCAGGTGGGCTCCAAAAAAGGGGAATTCAAGCATCCACCATTTGTATCGGCCTTGCAATGGATGCAAACGTTTACTAGCCTACATGCCTCATTTACCAACATGAGCCTGTGATTGTAACTTCTAAGGAATGGTAATAATGATCACCCCAATTTGGCAAAAGTTGTAAATTTCACAATGTCTTCTCCAATGAGATATTCTGCCAAATTCTTAGAATACAACTCCTGTTCTCCATACCCACCCAACACATTAATGGAGCAGCATGTTAAAAGGCATTGGGGAAAAAACTATATTATTGATGTTGGAAAATGAAATTGAGCAGCTTTGGTAACATATCCACAAAGGTTGATCCCCACAGGCTGTTAGCTCCCAAATGCCCACGATATTTAAATAAACTCCTTTCGGATTGCTTGGAGCTACTTTGCATCCATCAAAGGTAGCCAGGCTGATGACAAAATTGGCCTTCAAGCACATAAAAAATTGAATTTACATTGAGCTGCTTCATAATGAGTTTAGAATGAATTCAGTTGCTTTTGCTCCCACTGTTTTTTTGACTCTCCTTGGTCATTGCGTTTCTCTCTTTAGGTAAGGAAATATCTCTGAAATGATAACCCAATGGTCACGGATTGTCTAGTTATGTCTAAACGTTTTGATAATTGTTTCATTAAAAACTTGTAATTGCTTTTATAAATTTCTGACTTCTCGAAATGACAGATATTTGACCAATGATTTTTGTGATCCTTTGACAAGCGAAGTCAATGCTAGATTGACTTAATTGGGTTACAAACTTAACAACTGCAGTGATTCACTTTAACAACTGTGGCAAGAAAGGTCGTAAAATGGGACAAAATTCACTTAACAGCTGTCATCCTTAGCCACTGAAATGTTGGCCTCTATTGTCATAATTCGAAGACCTGTAATAGGCTACCTGGGAAAATTAACTGCTGTTTCCATTTATCTTGTGCAATTATTTTTGAAGACTGCAAGAAATTTAACCAATGTGGAACGTGTACCACCTTCGGGGAATGCCACGTGATAAAAAATTACACCCTCTGGAAAGTGGGAGATTATGGAACTCTCAGCGGCCGAGAGAAAATGAAGGCGGAAATCTATGCAAATGGACCCATCAGGTACAGGAGGAAGCACAAGTTTTAATGGCTCAGAACGATTCATGTGGCAACATTAAGGTGATGTGACTGAAGTAGATGTGGATAGCAAGATTGGTTCACTGGAGGAGAAGAAATTGTTTAAAGCCGCGTTTCCTACCCTTGGCAACTTTAAGATGTGTGGATTTCAACTCCCAGAATTCTTCTGCCACCAGCAGGAAAAATCCTCTTTTTATTTATTTAACTCCCTAAAGGTGGAGTCTCGTAGTGCTGTCTGGAATTAATGTTTAGTGGGGGCTTAGATGGGATGGAATTTGGCCTATTTTGTCCTCCCCCACCAAAAAAAAACAGCATTAGGACTTTGAGGTAGTTCATGGACCATTATGTGAAAGGCTGTGTGGTCTCTTGGGATGGGCTGAGGTAGAGCTTATACCTCAATAGAAACGTACAATTTCAAGTTCTCTCCTTGTTAGTTGCGCAGTCATGTCTGACCCATCGCAACCCCCTATCCTCTGGAGTCCATTTAAGCTCACACCTACTGCTTCGATGACTCCATCCAGCCACCTCATTCTCTGTCGTCCCCTTCTTCTTTTGCCCTCAGTTTTTCCCAGCATGAGGTTCTTCTCCAGTGAGTCCTTCCTTCTCATTAGGTGGCCAAAGTATTTGAGTTTCATCTTCAAGATCTGGCCTTTTAAAGAGCAGTCAGGGTTGATCTCCTCTAGGACTGACTGGTTTGTTTTTTTTTGTTTTTTTTTATAAATAAATTTTTATTTTTATTACACAATACATACAAATAACAAGAAAAAAGGAAGAAAAAAAACAAAAAAAAACAAACCAGTCAGTCCTAGAGGAGATCAACCCTGACTGCTCTTTAAAAGGCCAGATCTTGAAGATGAAACTCAAATACTTTGGCCACCTAATGAGAAGAAAGGACTCACTGGAGAATAGCCTAATGCTGGGAGTGATA